CCCCAAAACCCCAAAACCCCAAAACCCCAAAACCCCAAAACCCCTCTTATAAAATTATTTTTTGAAACAACTTTTGCAATAAAACCTACCCAAAAACTTTCTCAACCATGAAGTCATAGAAGCGTTCAGCATACATTGTTGGAGGGATGCAGCTCATTTTATGCCCATGCTTGCATCTTTTAAAGTAATATTCCAGTTGCTTCAAAGTTGAGTAGTTAGTTAAGGTATCAATGATGCCTACAATATACATCTGTTTCTTAGAGTCACTGATGTAAATTCCACGATCTTTTTGTCCTCTAGAGTAAGTCTTTGCATATTGCAAAACTGGGTCATTTTGATCTTTCTCTTTAAGATCATCTAAATCTATAATTCCAAGAAGAAGAGAGTAGTCCAAGGTCTGGTTGTCTCCCAAGTAATCAGAGTCAGCTTTAATAATCTGCATTAGCTTTCTCTTGTCATGAGCTTTCAAGTAGACTAGCTCTCCTCTCTCTGTCCAGTCGTTGTCTTTCAGAGCAATTTTAGGATCTATTTTCCCATATTTGAATGAAGTTTTTCTGCCTTGTATCGAACCTTTAAGATCGTATTTAACTCCAGGGGAGAATTTTCTAAACATGTTGTTCATGATGATAATGTATTGCTCCCTCTTAATCCCACTCTCTTTATACTTGATCTTGTACAGCCCATAATATCGTGTGAGTAAGGACTCAGGATACTTTCACAAATGGTCATGGTATTTCTTGAGTGTGCTTAATAATTTGTAAAACTCGTCACGAGCTATAGTCTTCAGCATGAACTTCCCATCCATACTATAGTAAAAAAGAGACCCACTTTTACCACTTGAAACAAGGGATGTGAAGGTCTTGAAATCATTTGTCCAAATGTAATTGTAGATGTTATCTGGACCAAGGGATTCGATGTATTGGTTATTCTCAATTCCATCTTTGATTCTAATGTCTTCAAAAATTTTTGGAGCATAATCAATGAAAACAAACTCGTTAGATGCAGAATTGTTAGTCGAAAACCACTCATTTTTGTACTCATATTTTGCAACATAACCGTTATCTCTAGTGTTTAGGAATGCAAACGAGAATTGGCAATCTATCGACCTCTTTATCCCAAGCATGATGTTAAAAACCAGGTCAAATCTCTCATGACCAAAATCAATAAATTCCCTTTCTTCTGGTAAATCGTCTTCATTATCTTCTTCCTTATAAATCTCCTCAGGAGGGCTTCGTACTGGTTGCTTCTGAGCTTTGTTACTTTTTCTGTTAGTTTCTTTATCAATTCTCTCCTGAAGTTGTATATCCAAAGACCTTCATACATCAACCATGGACTCTGATACATTCTGTATATTTTCTAAAGGATCTTCACTTTCATTTTTAAGCTTTAAAGTAATTTGCTTTTCTAATTTACTTATTGCTTAGCATCTCGAGTTCAGTTTTTGCTTTCCCAGCAAGAGAACTCCTGCTCATTACAGACTCATCATGATCTTTAAGTTCTTCATCACTTTCATCATTTACTTGGGACTCTTCGTACTCTTCAATACCGTTTCCTCCCTCATCGATATCTGTGAAGGCAACACTATCTCTATTTCTGATCATTCCAGGGTCGAAAGCTTGAGATTTCGCCTTTTTGTCAAACCTGAGTGTGGCTTCTAAGGTCGGCTTGTTCCTTACATCTTTTGTTAATGTCTTAAGTACTTCGTAGTATCCTCCCCTCCCTCGATTGAAGGATGGATCAGTTAAATTTAATAAGAAATTGTCTTGCTCTGAGGCACTTTCAATGTCAGATTTCCCTTGCAACTGCTTTACTGCTCTTAATATTTTCCTGATAGAAAATTCTGTAGTAGCGATATATTTGAAGAATAGGTCGATCAGGTCATCTACAAATTTCTTGGAATACTTCCCTTCTTCTTTATTTAAAATGTCACTTAACATTTCTTTTGGACGCTCAAGCCAGATGAACAAGTCTGGATTATCCTCAAGAGCTTTCATGTAGTCATCGAAGGTGAACTCTGCTTTACCAGGAGGAACTATCTTTTCAAAAACTTCATCTATCATCCCCTTGTTAGATTCGATTCTCTCCCGATCAGCTTTGGAGTACATATCAAGAATATTGATAACGAATTTCTGAAACTCTTCCTTCGTTACCACAGCATCTGTGTTATCGTCAATCATGGAGAAATTTTGTTCACGCTTTTCAGAAATAGTCCCATTCAGAATGACATTATTGTAAGTGATGTACTCCTCTAAGTCAATCTTGTTGTTCTTGTTCTGATCCATAGCTGAGAACATCCTCTCTGTAAAGTAAGTATTCCCAAGAATCCCCATCATTCGTCTATACTGTTCCAATGAAATCTCATCATTCGTCGAATACTTATTAAACCTCTTCACAAGATCCATTAACCTCGGATCATCCGGATTCTTAAACTTCTTAAAAAACTCAGGCCTCTGCGGCACACTCTGCACTCTATTCTTAACACCCCTCAAACATCACAGTCACCCTTTAACTCCCTTATTCCTGCTCATTTCACTCAAACCCACTCCTTCTATAAAACTTCACATTCTCCCACACAAAATCCCCCAAAAAGCCCCCCCAAAAATCCCCGTATCCCTCATTATTCCAAAGAACCCAGCCTATTTCCACTGTGAGCCATTATTTTACCTTGGTTTTAAAATTCTTTATTTGCTTGGGCCAAAAATAGTAGAGAATTTAGGGGTTTTGGGGTTTTGGGGTTTTGGGGG